CGATCATCACAATTACTCGTGATGTGATGTGTGTGTGAAGTGGAATGAGTGGGACGTAGAAGCTTGAGCGCTTGCCAGGTTGTTTTTAGGCAAACAGAGGGGGGTTGTGTAAACGAATTCCTACCTTTTCGGTTGTAGCTAGCATCCAGCATTGAACCACTGAAAATGAGCCTTATTACCACTCTGTTGTTTTGTTTGAAAAATTGCTTCTTCTGTTGTTCCCCAGCTAGAAAAAGGTTGTGAGCTGGAAAAACCCAGTCTTATAACAACGTTTTGCACCTTTATGCTGCAAAGTGCATCTTAAGCATAGTGAAACTACCATTCAAAACTCTCACAAAAAACTTGCAACTTGCTTAAATATTCACATGCCAGTACAATGTCGTCTGCTACGCTTGAAGAGATCATTTTGATTCTGCTATTCTCGTGGGAGGATGATTTGTTTTTAGAATCATTTCCATCAAAAAGTTGAAAAGCGAGAGAGAGAAGAACACTGTTTTTCATGGTGAATTCGGGCTGAAAGAAGCCGTAAGCTCGAAATTGGCTTCAATCATTGGTACAAAGGGATAGTAATATTGAAATAAGTTTTTCCGGCATCCCACTTTAAACGGAAGCCACTTAGGAGTACACAGTGGTGAAATAAGTTGAAAGCAGCTTATATATCAAGGAAAATGGAAACTTTGATCTAGAATTTAGATAAGAGTGAAAATATCGTTGATGCAACCCAGACGTGATCTAAAATCAGCCTGCTTCTCATACGTGCTCTGTTCACGTGTACCAGACAATTGGCGAAGTATAATGTCAGTGAGAAAGTCAGAAGAGATGTTGATCTAACTAATGCCTCTGAGGGGTTTACAAGAGCAATCGCGTTTCATGAAAATCGATAAGATTTATTTGAAACCTATTCGGTTTTCTACACCAAACCCAGGCGTTTTATCAAGTCGAAGCTGATGGGTAAAACTAATCTGGGCCAGATGTCTTATACCATTTGAAGTTGGTTCAGCCTTAGCGGAATTCCAAAGCCGGCAACAACAAGAGCGTAAGATGCTAAATGGCCTGACATACGGAAAGTGAAGAGCGAACATTAAATCGGATATAAAAGTACTCAACGCAATATTAGAAGCGGGGTCTTGCATGAGTGTTTTAGAGATACATGTGTCTGCAGTGAAATTTTGAGGGATGCTAGCTAAGACAGCCTGTTGGGCGATCTAAAACAGTGTGCGGATATTGAATGCAGCTATGTGACGAGGAACGTTTGAATTCAATAACCCATTACCTTCTGATTGTTATTCCTTCATTTCTAAACTTTGAGTGATATATTCTGAATACCAGTGTGAATTGAGAGTTAGAGAAAGAGCTGTAAATGTCGGAGACACATTCCAAGAAGAAGCCCGAGACCTTGAGGGACGACAGACTCCATCAAAAACAGTCTTTTATTTGAACCCTTATCGCAGCGCTTGACTCAAAAGTTTGACCCACAAGATAATGGGACACAGGTCAAATGCGGAGGCGTGATCGGAGCACTCTTGCAGAAGCTTCTACAGACTTATTACGATGGGATCTCTGGTTTCGGTTTAGTGAATGCTGTCGGTAAAAGTGTTTATACCTTCATTAAGAAATTGGCTTATCCTTCTCCACCTGTTTCTGTGTCGTACGAGGAATTAAAATGTCTCCTTCCGCAGTTTGGGAAGTCGACAAACTTTGAAGTTTCAGAGAGGGCAAAATTTCATCCATCCACAAAAGTTCATGCTTCAGCCAGACGTTTCAACCAAGTTACACAATCTCACTCACATAATGTGGCATATGTCCTATGGCAATTGGGATTCCTGCGGCAAATGTCATTCCAGATTCACAAGTCGATTCCATTATACTTCATGTCATAAGTGTGGCAAAACTGATCATATTCAGTCTGTGTCGCAGTACCCCAACTTACTTTTTTCTTTTTAATTCAACTTGTCGTTTAATTCAATCCAGTGACTCAGAAGTGAGTGATATAGACAAACAGTTTTCTTCCTTATCCTGGACAATTACCTCTCACTCCAGTCACATTCGTAAACAAGTATTCGGTTCCACTCGCTTTATTTCATTTTGGACACTGGTAGTGTGAAATATCTAATTTCAGTTCACGACTTGAAACTGTTTGCTCCAGATGCTAAACTACAGCCGTCCACTATCACCATAGATGGCATCACTGAACATTCACTGCATCTTGTTGATTCTTGGGAGATTTCAGTCAGTGATGAATATTCTGAAAATGCCACCTGTGCATTCATTGTAATCAAGGTTTGAAGGCTATTCAAGCACTAAATGTCAATCTTTTATTGTTAACTTCTATCGATACTGCAAATGAACTGAAAGATTTAATTATTAAATACTCGAAAGCCAGTGGTGGCATGAAAATTTCCCCAGTGAAACTACCAGTTAATGGCGATCCGGTTGTTCTCAAACGCCGAGTTATTCCATATAACCCTCGTGAATCGGTCATGAATGCGCTGAACAATTTGTTTCAAAGGTGTTATGGAGAAGGTGGCGTCTTCAGCATGGGGTACACCAATTGTCACACCACTCAAGTCGGATGGCAGACCCCTAGAATATGTGGTGACTACTGAGTCATCCTGAATTTAAGACTGCTAAAACATACGTGTACAACCGTTGAGCCAGAGGACATTCTGAATAACTTGACTAGTTCTGTGGTCTTTACCAAGATTAAACTGAAAGATGTTTCTCAACAAATCCCGTTAGACAAAGCCTCCTCCACTTTGACAACTACTAATACCTTGTTTGGTTTGTACAGATATAATTTTCTGTCGTTTGGCTCGTCCGTTTCTCCTGCCATATTCCAACAGGTTATGAATGACATTACTTGTGGTAGGTCTGGTGTTGAAGTGTATCAAGATGAGATTACTGTTTACGCTCCGGACGAGTGCACGCATGACGCACGATTGCTTTCGTAGGTTTTCTGATAAAAATGTTGCTATTAATCGTAAGAAATATTTATTTTCTCTTTCTCATTTTGAATGTCTTGAATATGTAGTTGATGACAACGGTTAGAAACCTGACCCAAAGCGTTTTCTTCCTCTAACAAAAGCCAACTCACCGTCTAACGTACACGAATTGGAGTCTTACACTACTGGTCTAGATTTATCCTTAGTTTCAGTCAAAAAGCTTCATCCCTACTTCTGCTCTCATCTTTTGACAAATTTGTTTGGACTGATACTCATGAACATTGCTTTCGTGAATTGCTGAAGCTTCTGCAGACCAATGCTGTACTTCATCCATTCAGTCCCAAAATTCATTCATTCATTTATTACTGATGCATCACCTGATGGCATTGTTGCTGTTCTTGAACAAAACGGGTGTCCAATTATTTGTGTCTCGA